TTGCTCTACCAGCAGCAGAAGCTGAAAAGGTGTCACAGTGCTACTTCACAAAAGGTGATGTGTTAATGCGAAAGTGGTGTCCAGCAGATGAGGACTGGGCAGTGGTAAATCAGATTGTAGTTCCCCCAGAGTACAGACAGGAGATTTTAAGGTTGTCTCATGATATTCCAGTGGCAGGACATCTTGGTGTGAGAAAGACTGTTGCCAGAATTGCGGCTCATTTTTACTGGCCGGGACTCCGCAAAGATGTATCTGAGTATTGTCAATCTTGTCATGCCTGTCAAGTGGTGGGGAAGCCTCAACATCGAATCAAGCCAGCACCGCTTATTTCCATTCCCGTTAGTCATGAACCATTCAGTCGTGTTCTGATAGATTGTGTGGGCCCTCTACCTAAGACTAGGACTGGTTCTCAGTACTTGTTGACTATCATGGATACAACAACTCGCTTTCCTGAAGCATTCCCATTGAGAAATATCAAGGCCAAGACAGTGATTGATGCCCTCCTGATGTTTTTCACACGTTATGGTCTCCCACATGAGATCCAGTCAGATCAGGGCTCAAATTTCACGTCAAATGTATTCCAAGAAGTGATGTATCAACTTGGAATCAAGCAGATTAACTCATCTGCTTACCACCCGCAGTCACAGGGTGCCCTTGAGAGGTACCACCAAACCTTGAAGAGAATGATCAAGTCTTACTGTTTGGAGAATAGTGGAGATTGGGACAAGGGTATCCCGTTTTTGTTGTTTGCCTCCAGAGATACTCCTAATGACTCCACAGGGTTCGCCCCCTTTGAACTTGTGTTAACCAAGAGGACCATTGAAGGTAGTGAAAGAGCAACTGTTGTCTGAGATGAAGGAGGGAGTGAGAATGTGTTGGACTATGTATCACAATTCCGTGAAAGACTATCGAGGGCATGTGAGTTAGCAGGACAACATTTGAAGTCATCTCAAGTTGTGATGAAGGCTCGTGCTGATAAAAAGGCAGAATCTCGCTCCTTTGAGCATGGTGACAAAGTTCAAGTGTTGCTACCAATCCCAGGTGAACCACTCAGAGCTAAATTTAGTGGACCGTACATGGTGGAGAGAAAGTTGGGTAAGGAGACATATCTTGTGAGGACTCCAGATAGGAGGAAGAGTAAGAGAGTTTGTCACATTAACATGCTGAAGAAGTATTATGACCGTGAGGATAGAGTGCCAGTTGCTGTTGTGTGTGAAGAAATGGTTAACAGTGATCCAGATATGCTTGAATTCACACAGGAAGCAGATTTTGGATCTGGGATGTCTGGTAAGGTGAACAATTCCCAGGTGATGGCAAATCCTGCTGAGGTATTAGGTCATTTGTCTGAGCAGGAACAGCATGATGTGATAGAGATTCTATGTGAGTACCCTGCAGTGTGTAAAGATAAGTTAGGTTGTACTCTACGAACGGTACATGATGTAGATGTAGGAGATAGTTTGCCCATCAAACAGCATCCTTATAGATTGAATCCTAGAAAGAAACATCAGGTGCAGACGGAGCTTCAGTATATGCTAGACTGTGGTATCGTTGAGCCAAGTCAGAGCTGCTGGAGTTCACCTGTAGTCCTTGTCCCCAAGCCTGATGGGAGTCAGCGCTTTTGCATTGGATTATAGGAAAGTTAATGCTGTGACTAAGCCTGACTCGTTTCCCCTACCCCGTATTGAGGATTGCATAGACCAAGTAGGTAGTGCGAAGTTCATCACAAAGCTTGATCTCATGAAAGGGTACTGGCAAGTACCCCTGTCAAGAAGGGCGAAGGAGGTTTCTGCTTTTGTGACTCCCCAAGGGTTATTTCAGTGTAGAGTTATGCCCTTTAGCATGAGAAATGTCCCAGCAACGTTTCAGCGGCTTATGACTGATGTCATTGCGGGACTTGACAATGTTGTGGTGTATATTGATGATATCCTGGTTTTCAGTGATACATGTACATGGTCAGATCACCTAGCTTACCTGAGAGATTTGTTTGACAGACTGACCAAGGCTGGTCTTGTTAAAGCCACCGTCACATACTTGGGCCATAAGGTTGGACGGGACATGTTGTCCCGCGGCAAGCAAAGGTCCAAGCTATCGTGGAATTTCCTGCCCCTTTATCCAAGAAGGAAGTGATGAGATTTCTTGGGATGTGCGGGTTTTACCGCAAGTTTGTTCCAAACTTCAGTGACCTTGTTGCACCCCTCACTGACCTTCTCAAGAAGGGAATTAAGTTTGAGTGGTCAAGCACATGTGAGAGAGCATTTCAGAAGTTAAAGGCAGTGTTAATGTCAAAACCAGTGCTGGATGCTCCCAATTTCCAGAAGCCTTTTCAGCTTGCCACTGATGCCAGTGATGTAGGTGTTGGTGCTGTTCTCCTACAGATGGATGACATGGGTCTCCTGAAACCCAATAGCTACTTTTCCAAGAAGCTCAACCCCCACCAGCAAAGATATTCTACTATAGAGAAGGAGTGCCTTGGTCTCGTCTTGGCAGTTCAGCACTTCGACGTGTACATTAGCAACTCTTCAGAGGTGACTGTATTCACAGATCATAATCCATTGACCTTTCTTGAGCGCTTCAGAAACAAAAACCAGAGACTGTTTCGTTGGAGTTTGTTTCTCCAGCCTTATGGACTGAAAGTGGCTCATATCAAAGGAAAGGACAATATAATCGCAGACACGCTTTCTAGAGCTTAAACAAGCCTACTGAACATTCGACAAATTGTGAAGAAACTAGAACTTTAATATTTTGTCTTTATTCGTCATAAGGAAGCTACACACGATGTATTGCTTTGTATCTGTACTTGTCTTTTAACCTGTGAACTGATGGATCAGATAATTCAATAATTTTGAACAGTGATATGAATGATCATGTATGAACATTTCACCTATTAGCAGGAAATTGCCAGTATGGATAATGGACTATATTCTGTGGAGAATGTGCACAATACAGTATGTCATTGTTTCCTTATACATGTAGGCACAGGCCTACATGTATAATGGTTTCATGTTTTTTCTTGATTCTGTTTGTTCGTTATTTAGAATAGTTTTCTTTTGATAAAAAGGGAACAGTTATTGTTAATACCCAGCACTGTTAACTATGCAATGCAAAGCTTAATGCATTTACCATTTCACAACAACAACAAAATAATTATGATAATAATTTGCATAAAAGGTAACTGTTATCAATGTTATAGGTGTAAAACAAATTTAAAGCAAAACAAAAGTGTAGCATCACAACTTGCGTAATGTTGTTACACCGATTTCAAAGATTGTTGAATGCCAGTATTGCATATGTATGTGTTTGTGATTTAACTTGATAAGTCTTGTTTATTTGTTTGTATTTAAACAAGTTCCAATTTATACATGTAGCTTGTAGCAGTCACTCAACCGGTTATGTTTCTCATGTAAGGTGTACACAAAATATGTACATGTATGTACCCTTATTCTTGCATTTAAAGGTATTACAAAGTTTTGGTATGGGGTCATGAATTTGGTTCAAGTGAACATATTGAAAGCATATGCGATCCTACAATATTCAGGGATCGTTGTTGCGGTTGAAATCGAGTCTAAAGTTATGAAATTGTAAATAATAAACTCTTTATGTTATATAGCTCCCTCTCAAGGTCAATATATTAATTAAGCTATAAAACAATGTTTCTTGATTAAAATTGACCAATTAGCTATTCCCGTTTTAAAATTATACATCACAACTACATATTCTGAGATTTTCATGGTCACAGCTACCACTGTACGGCCGTAGGCGCTATTTGAAATTTATCCAAATTTACCGGGAGCACCGGTAAGTTTTTATATTCAATTTTTATCGAAAGGAGAAGTGTTTTAGGGGCTAATTTTTCTTTTGCTTATAATACATCTACAGGGGCATCCACATATCAAAATTGTAAAGAATCACTTTCCACCCAATTTTCAAATTTCCCAAAACTTTGTATTACCTTTAATGTCAGAAATATTTCAAATCGAGCTGTGCACAGTTATGTGGATCATTATAACATATTGCTTCTGTTGACCTACATATTTAATGAGACTCTGCACGCATTCCGACATAGTAATGAGGTGTCGTCATAGCAATGCGTCATGTGACTACGTTGTGCGCGTTCATTATATGAATATGCAATTATTTGTTACTGTAGTTGTGCGCATTTAGGATATCGGCGCCTGTGCTGAATATTCAGTGTTTCATTTATTGCGCATGCTTATTACACTCATATATTCATGTATTCATATATTCATTATGTGTGATGTGTGAAGATGTGTTTCGACCACCACAGTTTGTGGTTCTTTACAAAATACAGGCATTGTGTCTGATTAATGTCCTGGTACTTACTTCCAGGATTCAGGAAGAGAACATACATGTATAATGTTATCTATCGTTGTTTTCATTTTTCTGCAGTTTGTGTTTTGTTATTGAATGTTGAAATGAAAGGACTAATCGGTCTGTCTTCAATATTAGAAGAATGATGTTTATATGCCAGCTTGTTATCTTGTTATACCTTTTGTGTGGTTAATTTCTCGCCTTTAGATCTTACTATTGTTCAGAAGAAAGTTCTAACTACTGATAGAAACTTTCTTTTATGGGGGAGATATGTTACGAATATGCAAATTGGATTTTTATCAATACGTTAATTTTCAAGATGTTGCTCGAGTTGAGAGTAATAAACGGATCAAAGGTAACCAAATCGTCTTGATTTTCTTTATATATTAATGTAAATGAGAGTTGTGGAAGGGCCAATGTGAGTTGATTGTCCCGACCTAACACTACAGTGAACCTGTCTATAGCGACCACCCAAGGGAAACACAAAAAGTGGTCTAAGTAGACAGGTGGTCTTTGTAGACAGGTTCCTTTAGTACATGATTCAATGAGAAACCATTTTCAAGGGGAAAAAAAAAAGTGGTCTTTGTAGACAGGTGGTCTTTGTAGACAGGTGGTCACTAAAGCAGGTTTGACTGTACCATCAATGTTTGGAGACAGTCCTAGATTCTCACCTCAACTTTAGCATCAGATGCTTTCCTTACGACCTCAGATGAAGACATCGCTCGTAGCGGTGGAGAACCATAGTTAGATGTACGGGGAGAGGCAGTTTCATCACCATCATCATTGTGCTGTATACAGATAATCAAACATTGTCTGTTATGTGATCTCAAGTTGAATATTAGTGTCATTGTCACTTTACATACATAATTATTACCTAGTTGACAATTATGGTTGACTATTAACTAGTATCATGAATACTGGTATTTGGAGCATACATATTTAACTATTAGATGTTACACTCATTGGTCTGCTGTAATGTAATGTAATGAAATGGATCAGAGGAGACCAACATCACAAGTTTCAGGAAAGGTTCAGGAATATAAATGTATTCCTGTATATGTGTGTGTGTATATTTATAATAAAATAGCAGCAATTAATGACTTTTAGGGATATATGTGCCAGGTTACATGGCTAGGTTTACTATAGAAGTAGATCCCGTATAGCAATGAACCATGTATGATTAGTGATTATACTACTTACATGACTAGTTCTTGATGTAGATCCATGCGTAGTTGAGCTATAGCTAGTATGTGTATGGTTAGAGATAACAGTACTTGGTCTAGGAGTACTAGGGTCTTTAATCACTTCTTCTGTCACATAGTACATAGCACATCCAATCACAGCCTCAAAGAAGTCCAAGAACGTCATCTGAAATTAAATAAACAAACACTACATTTCAAAAGTGCTATTCTTTCATTCTTATCTCCCTTTTTAGAATTTCACAAGTAAATTTTTTGTTTCTTCTCCAATAACCATCTGAAACAAGGTTTAATTCATTTATTCATATGAAGATAGATGACCCGGTAGGATATTGTATTCATTCTCTGTGACATCACACTCTACTATTAAGTTTTTATAAAAGAGGACTTTCGCTTACAAGATTGAAAGATATGTTTTATAACACATTTACACATACATTTATATACATGTTCATGATGCAGGGTACGTCTGTTCAAATAAGCTTTTGTCTTTCATCAGACTTATTCAGAAATTATTTAATCTGTTAGACAGATCCTGTACATTAGGTTCTTTGTATACATGTATTATAACCACATAGCAATAATGCAGAGATGCAATATGGATGAAAACATTATTTTTTCTACAAAATTGATCCGATGACCAGGGTAATGAAATATGTCTGTAAAGCCCATTGGGAGGGCCTGTGGTCCTGAAATGCGCTATAAAGAACAAACTATTATTATTTTTATCAATTAAATCAATTTATTTCTGTTATATAGTAAAAGTTTTCGGGATCATCCCTCTAAAGATGTCAACCCATAATTATGGGTCCTTTTTTAATCATTTACATACATGCCAACATTTGAAAATCAGAAATCTGTACACTATGTGCGCGAAGCGCACATCACAAGTGCGAAGTCCTTTTAGCCGGGGTCCAGGGCCCGCTTTAGGGCCCTGGAAGCTCTGGGTTTCCAGATGCTCTCTGGTGCAATCTGAGCCTATTTTAGGGACCATTTCCCCTAAAATTCAACCCAAGTTTATGGGTAATTTTTGTGTCATACCAAACAAAAAAGTGATTGAAGTGAATTCCACATTTTAATTTATCCTTGGCAGAGGCAGAGCAGATAATAGACATAGATTTAATTAGCCACTCATGCAGAGTGATGCATTTAAGTCTAGTTACTTTTTAAAGAATTATACATGACATAGATCTATGCATAAAATGAGACTGGCAATAATGGTATTCAACTTTCCAGACAACAGTCAACAATCCAAAATTATTGTAACTCATTGAGCTACATGTAAATGAGGTTGTCAAAATCAATGTCAGCAGAACAAGACATCTTGCCGACAATAAATGCAGTAGAATCTATGCATATTCCTCCCCTTTTGTGCTTGCTCTAATAAAGGGAAATCGTTCCTTGTATTCCTGTTTGTACTTCTGAATTCGTCTTGCTGCTGTTCCGCTCATTTTGACAGATTTTCTTCCGAGACAAATCACAAAGTAGCATATACTGTACGGTGCGCTAGCCGCGATAGCGAATGCATGCATGCTGATATGCGCATGCAATTGTATAGAAATTATACTTACGAGATTTGCCAGCGCAAGTATTTACGTACGGAAACACATATCAGAGTGCACGTGGCGCGCAGCAACACGCTGCCACTGTACATACATATCAGTGCACGCTGCACACACCTTGCGTAATGCAATCCGTTCAGCACTCGATTGGATCAATGCCATGTATGGAAAGCCAAATTCCCCAAAAGCGGAACGTTCCGTTTTTTAGGGCTATAAAAACTTCAAAAACGGAACAGTTCCGTTAAAATCGGAACGGTTGGCATGTATGCATTTATCTTGATACAGTTTCATGAAGCTTTTAAGCATTAGAATGTTCCATTAAAAATTTCAATTTTGGTGGCATTATAAATGAAATGTATGATGATCATGGTCAGGGGGGCGTTTCACAAAACTTGTCATCAGTGACAAATGGCAATTTGTGTTATAAGCTACTGAAATCCTTGCTTCTAATTGGTTATCAGCAGATTTGTCACTGATTTTCATTATATGTTAAACGCCCCCCCCCCCCCCTGATGTTTTATTTGAAATGCAAGCTCACCTCAAGCTCTAGATTGCAGTCTTTAGAGTCATATACAGCTGGATCATCACAGGACAGGATCTCTAAGATACGCCTTGCTGAGAGGTTCTCATTCACTAAACCATAGTCATTCAGTGTGTACAGGAACTCACGCATCTTTAGCACGGAATCATGTGGCTTGTACTGCAGGAAAGGAAAAAATAAAAGAGAAAAAATGAACCTCATTAGAGTAAACTTTGTCATAACAAGATTCATTTGCTAACAGCAGGAAAAAGTGAACCTTACCTTTGTACAGGACAGTACAGTTGTGTGCCGCATAAGCCAATCTCCGCAATTCATGACATGAACTGTTTACAGATTGGCAGGCTACAACTGAAATGCTCAGCACATTCTAAAATAGTTTGACTGACTACTATTCAAATGTATCTTTCAAATTGATAAAGTCTTGCATTAGCTGCATTATCTGAAAAAAATTTCATACTATCTCATTAACTCATATCCTGCCATAAGGCTGCTTGCACGCTACCGTTATAGTGCTTTGTACACGAGTGTGCGCTATCGATTGGTTGCTTCATTTATGCGAGCGAGCTACTGCTTATCTGCTTTGTGCATGCATGCTTGCATTCATAATAGCAGTTATTATTCATGCCCATTGCACTAGTGTTTCGCACGCGCTATTGAAAGTAGCATCGCGTTAATCCGTTTATCTCAAAATTAACTTGGCACAGGGGGATTTGAGGCTTGGCACAATTAGCCATGTGGTATTAGGCTGTATTCATTATGGCAGGATAAAAGTTAATGTCAAGGCATGACATTATTTTTCCCGTATTTGTTACGCGGCAGAATAATTACCTTTTTTACCTGAACTGAGACTATCAGCACTTTCGCTCCAGCGCAAAACAAGACCGTACGAAGGTACTTCAACCATGTTGGTTGATCCCAGTTTTTTCTTCATTTATATGCAAAAACTGAAGGTATGTTTAATTCCGTGCTATTATTCTTATAAGTGTATGTTATGCTAGGATTGTACGTGTATCTTTAATGTTTTTGAGGTTTGTAGGACAAATTTAGGCCTCTTTTGAAGTGTGGATAGTGGTAAAAGTCCGTAATGGTATTGACTGTGCTTAGGGTACTTGTGAAAGTGATTGATAATTTGTAAAATAATTCTTGGTTATATACTTCAAGGAAGTGTAAGAGATGCTAAAATGTCTCATGATAGTTGATAAGTTATCTGGAGACATTCATTATTGTTTTTGGTGTCATATTTCATCAATTCGGGATGACACGTGAGACCTATTTTTCTTACGCTATTTTAGGACTTCAGTTAATTGTGTTACCTATACGTACAGATTATATAGCGGAGGGATATTTTTAGACGCCAGTTTTAGTGATTCGCCTTACGTTTAGTCTTGTTTATGTTGCCCTAGGTAATATCACGTTATTCGTTTTAATACTTGAAAAGGGGAATGGATTTTTGTAATGTGATTTATAGTATGCTGAATGGATTTTTTATGTAATTCAGGAATGAAACAAAACAACACATTTTATTTTGCTTAAAGAAGACACTATTTATTAGAGTATAGAAGTGAAATGAATAGTTATTTGATAAGAGTTTGAATGTGAATCTTTACTTCTAGTTGCTTTACTCTATAGTCTTAAACTTAAATACACCCTTGAAGGTCATGTATTTACTCTAGTTTGCATACAAAGAATGTAATCTAAGGAAAAAGGGACAATTTGGGTATTTTGAATCAACAGTCATTCTTTGTTTATCTTTGTTTCTTTACAAGATTCACACGATTGTTGAATGTGCTTCACAGCGCCACAACTATTAAAGGGAAGCTAATTCAAGTTCACGCCTCCGGTGTGGTTATTATAACAACGTGGAAGTTTAGACACGGTCTTATAACATTCTTCAACAATCTGGCTGTATAACATCAACTGAAGATGACTGATATAAAGACTCTAAAGCTGGTGAGGAGAAATCTGAAGGGACAATAGACGAGGACATTAACATCCATTGTCAATCTCTCCGATGAATCTGCAGACCTTAGTCTTCTAAAGCAGTACATCAGCAAGGCTGAAGAACAGTTTGTAAAGGTGGAAGGGAAGCATGCACAGCTTGTGCAGGTCATAGAGAATGACGAGGAATATGAGGCTGAGGAAGTCTGAATGACCAACTGCGAGACAGACTTTGTCCAGAAGTTAAATGCTGGTAGGAAAGTTCTCAACAAGCAGCTGTCGCCACCATCAGTACAGCAGACATCCGAGCAACAGCAGAACGTGACACTCCCTAGCTCTCCTCTCCGCACCTTCTTTCAGAATCAATCTGCAGGTGCCTAGAATGGCGAGACTGAAACTACAATAATTTAATGGTGACATCAAAGATTACCGGAGATACAAGGAAATGTTCCAACACTGCACAAGGGAATTGTCAGAAATTGAGTTTTTTTTCCAGTTAGCGGTGTCAATGGTATCTCAAAGGGAGAGAAACTTGGTCAAAAGCTGTTCAAGCGTAGCAAGGGCATGGGAGATGCTGGATGAACGTTTTGATGACAAGGACCGAGTGGTGGACAGTTTGCTACAAGATTTGGATGGTCTCAAGCCATACGAGTATAAAGGAAAGGTGAATCTTCCAGCAATGGCGCGATTCATCCAGGTACTTCAGAACTTTGAGTGCCAGGCCGAGACCATCGGCCTGGCTGGGGAGCTCAACAGCAGAATCATGCTTAGTCAAATAAAACTGAAGCTCCCAGAGGATCACAGAATGGACTACTACAAAAGTGTTCGGGAGGATAATGCAGATGAATCCATTTCAGGATTAAGCAAATGGCTGTTTCGGCAGCAAATACTTATGGAAAAATCCAAGTCCAGCATGGCAGATAGTATGGAGCCAAAGAGAGTTTCGAAGTCCTTGACTGCAGCCGTATGGAGGGAGGCTCCTTCATATGATCGTGATATCCCGAGATGTCCTCTACAATATGTCCTCCCCTGTAATATCAAGCGGAAGCTGAGAGTCCTTGATTGTGAGATTGAGGATTTACAAATGAGTTGGTCTTATCCGTTGACAGCTACTGAGATAGATAAGCCATGTGGGAATACACCTGTCATTTTCCCTGAGCATCTACAGTCCTATGACCACTTGACAGGTGTAGAGATTGATGTGGCCCCATCACCAGTCATTGATCTGCTGCTTGGAGTGGACAATACTCACCTTATGGTATGGGAACAATACATCAGGGGAAGCAGACCAGATGAGCCAGTTGCAGTTAAATGTCCTCTAGGTTGGTTTGTTCAAGGAGGCCCAGCAGCTAATGCAGCACCACTCCTCAACTACGTCAGTGTAGCTGCTTCAGGATCCCTGGAGGAGTTCATTGGACTCGAGACAGCTGGTTTGGAGCCCAGGAAATGTAAATGCTTCTCTGATGACGAGAAAGGAACTGAATCCATGCAGAAGAGTGTTACTCAACTACCAGATGGCTCTTATGAGGTTCGCTTACCCTGGAAGCGATCTCCGGATGAACTACCAGACAACTATGACTACGCAGTTAAAAGGCAGAAGAGCCTGGAGAACCAGTTCCGAGACCGGCCTAATGAGTGGGAAGTCTATTGCCGGCAAATGAGAGACCAATTGGAAAGGGGTGTCTCCCGGCAGGTTACACAGGATGAGATTTCAGATTCAGATTTCAGATTTTATTTCCGTTTCAAAACAAACAAAATATAAACAAACATAATATAATACAGTCAAATATAATATAAACAAAGTAAATTCAGTATTATGTAGAACAAAATTTAGTTGATAAGAAATATTGGGAAAAAACAGTACTGAACAATAGAAAAAAAATGACCTTGATGAAGTAATTCAAAACGGAGGGGCTTGCTAAAAAAGCAGAGCTTGTATGAGGCAAGCCCCTGACTTAGTTACATGGATACGCTTAAATAATTATGGTCGAAAGCTAATACCAGTAAAACACACTAAAAGGGAATACAAAAAAAAAGAAAAAGTAAAAGTAAAAATAAAAGTAAGATAAATATAGTAACAGAGAGAGAGAGAGAGAGAAAGGGGAGAGAGCAAGAGAGAAATAGAGAGCGAGAGAAAGGCAGGAAGAAGGAGATGGGGACAGGAGGCAGGTACACCACCAGGTCGTTAGGCTTGTTTAGATTATTCTTAAAAAAGAAACAAAAAAGGAGGAAAGGAGGAATAACAAAAGGAAAGATTTGTTTTATCTTTCCGTAGGTTTAGATTTTTGAGCTTGGCTTGTTGGTGGGGAGTATTGGCTGATTAATGTTTTCCTAAGTTTACGTTTAAAATTGCTAAGACTAGGGGCTTCTTTTATATCGTTGGGAAGAGAATTCCAATAGGCACATCCAGCGAAGACAAATGAATTCTGTGCAAATAATGTTCGTGTTAAGGGTAAGTGATAACAGTTCCGTTGTCTAGTCGGGTAATTGTGTACAGAGGCATTTTTGCAGAACATATCGGAAAAAATTGCGGGGAGGTCGTCTTTACTTAGTTTGAACATAAATTGGCCGAGTTGGAACACATAGATATCTTTCACTTTGAGAATATTATTTTCGAAAAATAAAATATCTGTATGAGATCTGAATTGTGTTTGAAATATTATCCTGAGTGCTTTTTTCTGCAGCAGTAGGATCCTATTTAATTGTGTTTGTATTGCACATCCCCATGCTATAATCCCATAATTAATGTATGGTAATATTAAGGTATGATATAATGTAAGAAGAGTTCGAGAAGGAAGAAAGTATTTGAGTTTATTGATAATACCGATGTTTCGTGAAATGGTTTTGCATATATTATCGATGTGAGTTTTCCATGATAATTTTTCATCAATAAACACTCCCAAGAATTTGGTTGTAGAAACATTAACAAGAGCAGCAACAAGACAGGGATGTAGGCAGAAGGATGTGGTTTCTTCCCCACTTTGGGGTTGTTAAAGACTCAAAAACAACTCCAGTCCGGGTAGTTTACGATGGTAAGGCGAAGTTCCAAGGGCGTTCTCTGAATGACTGTCTCATCAAAGGAGAGAATATTAACTCGAATCTTTTCGAGGTAGCCCTCCGGTTCCGTGAAAATGAAGTGGGCATGATCGCAGACATATCCAAGATGTTCCAGGCTATTAAGATTTCACCAGAGGATGCTCGGTTCCACATATTCGTTTTCAGAGAGAATCCAAACCATCCCATACAAGTCTTTGAGCTTACAACAGTCACTTTCGGGGATAAACCCTCTCCAACTGCAGCAATCATCACCCTCAGACATGTGGCTCGTGAGCATGCACCCGATGATGACAAGATACAGAAAGTAATCGTCGAGCAATTCTATATGGACGACCTGAACGAGTCAGTTAGTAATTCTGAGGAAGCTCTAGAGTTGAAGTCCAAGCTGATGGAGACATTGAAGAAAGGAAACTTCAACTTAAGGAAGTGGCAGTCTAATGTCAAGAAGGTCTGCGATGAGACAGAATACACAGACACTGCTACAGTCCTAGGTACCAGCTGGGATCTATCTAAGGACACACTGAGAGTGAAGAAGGTCAAACCCTCCGAGGATACTACCCTCACCAAGCGGAAGATTCTTGCTCAAACGGCATCCTATTACGATGTTTTTAGAATGCTTTCCGGACTGTTGGTACGCCCCAAGATTCTTCTTCAAAGGTTGTGGCAGCTGGACCTTGACTGGGACTCCCCCCTTGACCAAGGCAGTGAGCTCTACTCCATGATGAGTAAGATCAACAGAGACCTTAATGAGATGGACGGCATTGAGATCCCAAGATGTCTGATACCAGAGCCTTATAGGAGAACGAGACCCCTACCAATAGTGTCCATGCATGGTGTCAGTGATGCTTCAGAGGACGCCATGGGTTTTGCAGTGTGGCTGAGATGGTCACATACTGACAGCCAAGAAGCTCATCTATCCTTCGTCTGTGCCAGATCTAGAGTGACACCTCTGAAACAGACAAGCATGCTTCAGAAGGAGCTACAAGCTCTTCTCCTTCTATCCAGACTGATGATCACCATCAGAGATGCTCTACGCTTCAGCATAGTCTGATGGAAGATGTGGACAGACAGCATGACAGCGATTAGTTGGCTTAGAGGGCAGTCTAAGACCTTCCAATCTTACGTCGCACATAGAGTCGGTGAGATCACATCTAAATTTGACCCCTACAGGGATATCGCCTACGTCCCCTCAGATCAAAATGCTGTTGATCTCATTTCCAGAGGAGGCGTTGTTACAGACATGCAGGAGGTCATTAAGGGCCCAAAGTACTTGAGACTACCTCCTCATTCTTGGCCAAGGACACCAGAGAATGTTCCTGTCAAACCGGGAGATCCTGAACGGAAGAATTTTTACTCCCGAAACACCAAGACCCTCTCAGTAACGATGAATGCTGTGTCCAAGAATTTCCCGATTGTTGGTCCAAGCTACAGATGGTCACGGCGAGGGTGTTATCCCTCAAGGAGCTTCCCCGGAATCAATGGCTGAAACAATTCCTCCGGCAGATCTCTGAATGGCCATCCCAAAGAATGATCAAAGAGGCAGAACTGTATTGGGTCAGACTAGCTCAGAAGGAGATAAACTTCCAAGATTCCAATATACAGAAGCTGGACCCATTCTTCGATGAGGACAGTGAAGTGTACCGTGTTGGTGGACGTCTAGGTAGAGCACCGCTGTCGTATGACATTCGCCATCCATATCTTCTTCCGAAGAAGAGTCATATCAGCTTCCTCCTCGTATGCGATAGACATCTTCATGCCCTTCATGGTGGTCATTTGCGGACAGCAAATGAGGTTCGGAAGAAGTACTGAATAGTGGGGGACATAAACATTGCACGACATGTTGTACGCTGTTGCATCACTTGCAGACGGCATAGAGGCAAACCGATGCACCAGAGGATGGCTGATTTACCAGAGTTTCGAGTCAGCCCATGTTCGCCACCCTTCAAGACTACCTTGGTGGACTACCTAGGCCCAGTAATGGTGAAGCTGAATCGTAATACCACGACCAAGGGATATGGTGCCTTATTCACATGTGCGGTTACCAGGGCTGTCCACCTGACAGTAGTCCAAGACCTATCAACTCAGGCATTCCTTCAAGCTTTGGAAAGGTTTGTCAGTATTAGAGGAGCACCAGCCATGATGGTTAGTGACAATGCTACTTGTTTCCGAGGGGCTGACAACACGATCAATGAGCTGAACCTTAAGCTGAACTAAACACAGGTCCGGGAGCACTGTCAACGTTATAAGGTTGAGTGGAAGTTCGGACCACCGGGAGGACCCCACCACCAAAGGGCAGTTGAGCGCATGGTCCAAGAAGTAAAGAAAGCTATGAGGCACCTTGTGAAGGCTGACCGTCTTACCTTCGTAGAATGGGAGACTGTTTTTTGCAAGATTTCAGGGCTCATCAACAGCCGTCCCCTGACTGCGATGTTATCGTCGCCTCTCGATCATCCACCGCTGACTCCCAATCACTTTCTCATTGGGAGAGGAGATTTGAACTGCCCTGATATTCCTTGTGAGGACTACAAGGGAGATCTACGGAAACGTCGTGAACTGTGTAATACCATGGTGGAGGGTTTTTGGCGTAGATGGATGGAGTACACCCACAAGTTGGCACCACGTCAGAAGTGGCAACGATCTTCAGACAACGTGGAAGAGAACGATATCGTCCTCTTCATCGGTGATGACAGAAAGCGATGGCGGAGGTAGTCAGGACTCAGCCTGGACAGGATGGCCTTGTTAGAGTCGTCGAAGTGAAATACGCAGATGGGACGCGTGCCACCAGGCCGGTTACAAAACTTGTATCCCTGATGAAGTGAGATGAACCCTCAGACATTTAAAGGTTCAAGAACTGTTGATTACTGGACATTTGAACAGCTTGAAGAAAAATTCAGACATTTAAAGGTTCAAGAACTGTCGATTACTGGACATTTGTACAGCATGAAGGAAAATTGCTATTAATGGGCAATTTATAGTGGATAGTGATTTCATTGTATTTCTCTTTGATCTTATAAGTGTTCCATTTAGTCTTAAATCATGTTAGATTGTATTTCTTTGTGACATTCCGTCACGCTTAGGGGGTTGGGATGTCAAGGCATGACATTATTTTTCCCGTATTTGTTACGCGGCAGAATAATTACCTTTTTTACCTGAACTGAGACTATCAGCACTTTCGCTACAGCGCAAAACAAGACCATACGAAGGTACTTCAACCATGTTGGTTGATCCTAGTTTTTTCTTCATTTATATGCACCTTGTATTCAAGTTTTCAATGTATCTTTAACATACCTTGGAAGGTTTGCTGATATCTTGGTAGACCGCATAGCATCTATCCATATATCCTAGAGCGTTGACAGCATGTGCTTCATCATACAAGAAGTTACCCTGGACATCACACCCAAAGGGTACAATATTCTCTGTGATGGCCTTAGAAAGACACCAAGCTAGAACAGGACCAGATCCAGACCTGAATAACAAGATAGAAAATGTGGAATTTAGATTGGTCTTGAAAGGACACCAGACCAAAGTGGTGGTCTAGTGGACAAGCCCTGCTCCAGACTGTGAACCACCAGGCATGGGGTTGGAATCCACTAACGTCCCTTGGCAAGACGATATTCATCTAAATATTGCATGACAAGTTGTTAATTGTTTTAATTCTAATTAAGATTAGGCATGACATGTAGATATTACAAGTGAATTCTGTAAATAATAATAATACATTATAACATTGATAATATAAGAAGCAGCACATATTCATCCTTGGAATACTCTTTCAAATTGAATCAAGTTTAAAGGTAATACAAAGTTTAGGGAAATTTTGAAAAATGGGTGGATAGTGAATCTTTACAATTTTGATAGATTTGGATGCCCCTGTGGATGTATTAAAAGCACTAGAAATGTTAGCCCCTAAAACACTTCTGCTTTCGAGAAAAATTTAATATAAAGATTTACCGGTGCTCCCGGTAAATGTTATTCAATTTCAAATAGCTCCTAGGGCCGTACAATGGTAGCTGCGACCATGGAAATCTCAGAATATGTAGTTGTGGTATATAATTACCAAACGGGAATCGGTCGATTTTAGTCAAGAAACATTGTTTTATAGCTTAATTAATATCTTGACCTTGAGAGGGAGCTATACAACATGAAGTGTTTATTATTAACAATTTCATAACTTTAGAGTCGATTTCGACCGCGACAACGATCAGTGAATATTGTAAGATCGCATATGCTTCCAATATGTTCATTTGAACCAAATTCATGACCCCATACCAAAACTTTGTATTACCTTTAATTATGTAACAGTTAGGATAATACAGAAGAGGTACGAGAATATTTTTTTGCCAAATATGATATTGTCACGCAGTTTGGTTAAGATATTTGATGTAATATTATGTATATATTTTATTCCATGCTTTAGTCTACTCTACAACTATCCATGATTATTGTACCAGTCTATGTTAAGGATGTCTTGCTATAATTACGCTATTACAAATCCAGCCAGCCCGATCCCAATATAGCAAAGTTCTATTCTCTCCTCACTTTGACCTTGCATTCACTTTTAGAACTTTCACTCAGTCCCTTCTCACTTTGACTTTGCCTGACTTTCAGAGCTCTCATTCTTTCCCTTCGCTCTTGTTTGCCCGAAACTCTCATTTTAACTTTGCACTGTCCTTCAGCCCTTTCAGCTTGCTTCTTGTCTCGACTTTCTCCTGTCCTTGTATCCTCTCTCTCAATATGACTTTGAGCTCTCTATTTATGTGCTCAATGCCGTACTTCTCCTAAATACTCTGCAGCGCGATACTTGTGACCTACATGACTGGGCTTTCTCCATCTCCCTCGAAGGGTATATAAGACAGACTGCATTCGTATCTTAGGCAGTTAGGAGCGAAGAATCTGTCAGCGAAGAGTGAAGACCGTTGCAGTTAAGAGTGAAACTTGTGAGCTGTCGAGAGTTAATTGTGTCAGTTATTGTGAAAAGCCTGTCATCACGGTGTTTGAAGCGAGAGTACTCTACGAATGGGATAGAGAGCCATCCTGTTCAGAAATGGTCTCCAGTCATGTTAGTCTATCTGTTTAGCCTCTTCTAATGCCTGCTGCATTATTTTGCCTCTCTGATTCGCAAGACATTCTCTTTTATCCATCCTTGTAAATGTGTTTGGGTTTGCTGTAATAAACTCCTCAACTGTAATTTCTGCCTCACGAGTGTTTATTCTCCCTGAATCTCGGCCATCCCTAACAACTAAACTTCAACATATAACGGGGCTAATATATCTTGGGACTTTTACTTCCTATTGTCGAACAATATAAGTCGCCGTTACACTGGTGTCAAAAGTGGGAAACAAATTTTATGCATTTTGCACCATTGAATAAACAATATGATAAGAACTTACTTACTCTTAAGTTTGTTGATTCAGTGGAGCCCTTAAAGCAAGTACATAGTGCCCGCTTTTTGGGAGTTAATATTGATGACAAGTTATCATGGTCTTTACATATTAATGATATTGCATTAAAGATCTCGAGAATTACTGGAGTTATGTCAAAACTGAAATTTGTATTACCGTCAAAGGTACTGCTTTTGCTATACAATTCATTAATTCTCCCTCATTTACAATATGGTAATATGCTATGGATAAATGCATCAAATACATTGTTAAATCGTTTACATTTGTTGCAAAAACGTGTAATACGCATAATTGCCAAGTCTCATTATTTGGCCCATACCAACAATATCTTTAAACAATTAAGGGTTTTGACTGTATATGAATTAGGTAGGTTACAACTGGGAGAATTTATGTACAAGTCTGAAAAGGGACTATTACCAAACTCACTTCAAAACTGGTTTAGATGCAACAGTGATGTACATTGTTATAACACTCGAAACTCCAAGAATTTGCATAGCATTTATTACAGAACTGCTACTGGCCAAAGAAGTGTTAAGTATCAGGGTTACCTTACATGGTCTACTTTAGATAACAGTCTCAAACAATCTGCATCATTACGACAATTTAAGTATAAATATAAACAATATCTCTGCAATTCTAAATAGTCAAATCAATTTAAAAACAATTATTATTATGTTTCAAATCGCAATTATGTTATCATCAGGTCAATTTAATCTAATTATAAAACCAGACATTTGAAGGGAGAGTCCACCCTGAGGATGGGTTTACTCCGCCTTTACTTGGCCACACACATTCTCAGGGTGGACTTCCCCTTCATTGCTACCGGGGCTAGACTCGACAAGCTTCGCTTTTTCTAGCCCCATCTACATTACTCACCTTTTTATGTTTTAATGTTGATGTTTTTGTTAACTGATGTAGATTTTCATTGTTCTTTTATGCTTATGTATCTGTTTTCTTTTGCTCTATGTGTCAAATGTGTATAATGTAATCTTTTACCTTGTATATTTATCTGGTTTTTAATGTGGAAAATAAATGAAATGAAATGAAATGATTCAGACTTTAACACGTGCTTTAAATACGATACAATGTCTCCAAGGAAGCGAAAAGCCGATCTTGAGAGAGAGATCAGGGAGTTAAAAGAAACAAATCGGCGAGCCGAATGATATCGACAATGACAATGATGCTAGTGAAAATACTGAATGGAGAGATGGAAATGAGGTGTCCATTCACACTGGAGTGAAAGTCCAATTACCACCCCAAGAGCCGTATAATGGTACAGGACGATCATGGGAGAGTTTTGTATTGTCTTTCAAAAACTTCGCGGCTACTTGTGGCTGGGAGGAGTCGGAGCAGCGTGTTCGTCTTCTCGCCTGTCTCCGAGGTGATGCAGCTGATTTTGTCTTCCAGCAGCTCGCCCCAGACGACATCGCCGACTTCGTGAATTTGATATCTGCGCTCGAGTATCATTTTGCTGCAAGGAAGACACCTTCTACGTTTGTGTTGCAGCTAGAATTACGCCGTCTTGGTCAGAGGGAATCAATTGCTGACTATGCTGCAGATATTCGCCGCCTCACGACATTTGGCTACCCGACGGCGGATGCTGCAACGAGGGAGATGATCAGGACCCGCCATTTTCTTCGAGGGCTTGGTGATAGCTCTATGGCTATGGCTATAGGGTTGCGATAGGGAGCTCGGGAGATTGCTGAGCGATTTCACCATCTCCAAGAGGAATCCAGCAGAGGAGCTTGACAAATCCGATTGGTGTCAGCGACGTCAGATGACGCGGTGAACAATGAAAAGTATATTGAGTTAAGGCGCCGCATCATCTCCATTGATGAGCGAATTGAACAACTAACTAAACTTTTTCAGCAGCCGCCACGAGATGATCCAGAACGACCAGCGAGACAGCCAAGAGAGCAGCAACCTCGTGATCGACCACCACCTCGTTGCTATAATTGTCAGAAGCTTGGTCATCTTGCCCGTAACTGTCGTGTACCACCCCAAAATGGTGGCCAAATTCCTGCACCCCAGTATTTTAGCAGTCGACCGAACTGGGTGCCACAACAACCGCCACAACCTCCACAATGGCAGCAACCTCTTCCTTTTCAGCCGCAGCCGCCGCAGCAACAATTCCTGCCACCCCAAAAATGGCAGCAACACGTACCATTCCAGCCCCAACCACCGAAACAACAGGCTGCAGAACCAGCCAGGGACAATACTTCGGGAAACTAAACGGGGCCGACCTCATCGACCAGGTCGAGGCCGGCCATGGAGTTAAATCGTGCCCTAGAATAATTTGCATTGATGAATCGAACGGACTAACAGCGTATATCACAGGAAATGTTAATGGGGCCTCGTGCAAACTTTTGGTCGATTCTGGGGCAGCAGTGACAGTTATGTCGATAAAACTGTATGAACAAATGCCCATCGAAACTCGCCCAAAATGAATTCCCTTGTCGGATCATGTTCAGCTCCAGTCAGCGGATAAAGGAATTCTAAATGTACATGGAATTATTGGAGCAACTGTGAATGTTGGTTCTAAAGATTTTGAATGGAATGCATACATTGCAGATATAAGTGATGAAGGTCTGATTGGTTTTGATTTTATGCACTATTTTAATTGTACCCTCGAGGCCAGACAAGGGCTTCATATTGATAATATTTTTAATCCAATCGAACTTCAGGACTGTAATTCTATTATAAGTGCAGTTTATGTGAAATATGATGTTGTGGTGCCGCCCAGATCTGAGTTCATTGTACCAGGAAAGATAGACAATTGTGATATTGATTCCCAAGCATGTGCTATTATTGAGCAAACTGCTCATGAGTGGAATATAAAGAATCTTCATGTCGCGGGATGTCTCATCGATGTAACTCGGAATGATATTGACATACCAGTGCAAGTCGTTAACACATCAAGTGAAGAAATTAATCTTCATGCTGGAATGCGAATAGGTTCAATGGAATTAATCAGTGATGTATTTGATATGTGTAATAATGATGTAATCAAGAGTTCAAACCCCAGCATTCGCACAGTAAAGGCTGATTCGAGTAAAGAGATTTC